TTTAAAATGGAGCTCACCAATGGCTCATGGTGTCCATCACTTTAATTATTTATTCGATGCTTTGTCAAGTTGCTGTTCCATGTTTTGTCAAGTATGTTTTGCCATGATAGATTTCATCCCCAAGTCATATTTTTCTAGCACTCAACAACCTCATCCAATCAACCCCCAAGACCCTAGTTTATTGGGGCCCAGGATAACGATCATTCTGCTGCTTCTTGACTTTGCTACCTCAACTGTAAACTCCAAAAACGTGAACCTTAAACCCTAAGAAAACCTTTGCAACTCAAAACTTCCAGACCCGAAACTCAAAACCCGCCCCCAACCAAGAACCTAACTCAAGTTCTGACAACCTAAACCAGCTTCTCCAGTATAGTACCAAAACCGTATCTTCAAACTAGATCCAGAGGCAAGCCCAAATCTCCATCTTGTTGCCCTATTCTCTCAGCCCCTTCGCCTGACCCTTGAGATAACTGCAAGGTAGGAACCCCAAACAGGAAATATCATGAGAGCAGCTCCAGGAAAAAGAAAGACTGCAATCACGCAGTCAGATTTTGCAACCACGAACGAAACGCAAAGAGTGCAGCAGAACAACCGCGAAGTGTGCGGCCAACAGTAACTTTACAACCGAACCTAAACTAATATTTTTGTCCCAAAGCCCCTGTTGAAGCCTACATGCATAAATTATCGCGTTTACCAGTGTTTTCGTGCTATCAGCTTCATAAAACTGCAGGGGCGCCCATGCGCCGCGCACCATGTAGTTTCCAAACTTTGATGCCCAGTTCCAAATAAAGTACGAGGAGGGCATCGCGACCAGTGCTCACATTGTCGCACCAGTGAAAAAAGGGAAGCATCATTTCATCCCTCCAGCCATGTTTGTGGAAGGGTGCACAACCAATCTTTTGTCCCCAAGTCGACAAACGGGGAGTCTTGCCAAAAGGCCGAAGAAAGGGTTCACAGTGCGAAGCTAGCTCCAAGGTGCCAGCACTGCAAGCCCAAACTCGAAGGCCATACCCCGAAACTGGTGTCCAAGCGGAAATCGAACCGGGCGGTCGCGACATGTTTTGACCTCGAAGATGCCTGGCAACAGATCGGACAGGTTGGGGGATGTTGTAGGTGTGTTCTGGAATGCACAAATTGGACTACGGTCATGTTGACATTAATTAAGCTGCAGCTCCTCACTGTCTGGGTCTCGGCTTTAGGCCGGCTTGAAACCCCGAAGGCAGCGAGGACGATGCCTTCGACCAGTGAGGTCATCATGTGACCGGGTCCCGTAGATCCAGTGGCTACGATCAGCATTAAGTCTCATTTCGTTACTCCAGCCGTCCAAGAGCTGTGGTTCTCAAGTGTTGAAAGTATCTGTAAAATTTAGCATCAATTAATGCACAATTCGATGGTGTACTGAACCCATCCGAAGCCACTGGCAGATCGCAGGGAGACTCCCCAAACCCGCAAGACTCATGGGTGAAGAATGGTGAAGAAGTGTCAGACGAAACGTCGTGACAAGAAGTGCCACACTACCGTTACGGAAGGAGTGGCTTGAGTCTGCAGATGTTTAGGGAGTATCCAAGTCGATCCTTTCTGCAGATGTGCCCAGTCACATGACAACCGGAGAGGGCCAAAATGCGCAGCGCAAGTCGAAGTTCAAGCTCTAAACCCCTGAACCCTAAACTCTAAACGCCCAGCTCCCTGGCGCTTAACCAAGGCTGTGCCGCTGAAAAGCCCAACCCACTCCTCAGTCCCCACACCGCACGACCTCCGTTAGAGGTCTCCTTTTAAGAGATGAAGTTGAAGTCCGGCCGAACATGTCCAAGGGCGGCATGTGAGGCACGGTGGCCAGGCTCCTCCCTCACTCGACGAGCTGCTCAGAGTATGGGGAGGTATTACCCTTAAGATCCTTTAAGGTTTCGCAAGGCACGGTCTTGAACTCGAGGTCCGCATGTCCTATGTGTCTAAGAAACGCGTACTTGGACACTGCATGGTCCGGAGGCAGCGGGCATTTGCGGTCTGAATTCGTGGCGTTCATGGCATGTTTGGAACTCACAAGAAATTCCTGGATTCAGGGCTGTGTCCCAGGCCAGCACCATCAAGCAAGCGAAGCAGAACTGGGGATGTAAGCTTTCGAAGTAGTTCAAACGGATTTCACAAGCAGTGCCGTACACTGGCGTGCTCCGACATCCTGAGCAGCAAAAGCACAGGAGCCAATGACCTTTGCTCGATTCCCTGTGCACCTCTTCATGTCGCCTGGCTGGAAGCCCGACAACGGTCCCACGAATTTTCATCATGGGTGCAGACGTATACAACATGAGCTGCCGCAGCTCCGTCCTCACACTGCGTCTGCTCGGAACCCATACATGTCTTTTGAATCCTGTCAGCTGTGGCTGCCGAAAGATGGTATCCACGCTTCAGACAAGAACTGCGCCGCAGTGTGCATTTCTACGGTGAGGAATTGCGACTGGGGCTTGAGGGTAGCACGGGAGATGTCCTAATGCTGCGCTGGAAGTTTTCACCATGTTACGACTGCATTTGCAGGCTTGCCTTACTGGCTTCCTTTCGCGGGGTGACAAATCAGAAGCCTGCCCAGCCAAGATTTCTCATGGACCCCATGATTCTGATTCTGCTGAGATGCAATTTCTCACCGTTTTCCTGTGCAGTCGCTGGGCCTGGCCTTACGCGACTTGGTGGAGGAGGCTAGAGGCGACAAAGAGACGAAATGAGAGAGAGGAAGAAGCGAGGCTAGTTCGCTTTGCGCTTTTGCCGACTCTCCTTCGGCCTTGCAGGCACTCATAGGCACTGGGCCAAGCGCCGCTCACCTCGAGTGGGCAGAGTGTGCTTTTCTCAAAGGGTGCCTCCGGAAGCGAAGGGCATCGTTGCAGATTGTAGAGGTTTCTAGACCCTTGTAGACTTGTAGACTCGACAAAATCCAAACGCATAGCCTGCATGATTGCTGTGGCAAAGCTAAAACTGGCATGCTGAAGCATGCCGTAGTTTGTGCAGACGAGACCAAACGCGTTTCTCAGGGACGCAGGAAAATGCGATGCGGACACTGCGACTGTTGAGCCTGTTTAGGGGGTCTGAGTACATGCAAAGTACTGAGAAGCAGAGTCGACTTTGAATGAGAACTGAACATGCGCCGGAGGTCCCGAAGAGCATATGTTGCCTGATTAATTAGGGCAGACCTTGCCGGTGGTTTTGCGAGCCAGGCTACCGAACTTTCAACATTCACGATATGTCTCGCAGTTTCTTCTTGCGTGCCGTGGCAATGTGAGCATATTACCCCTAGAAGAAGATCTGCGAGCGGGCACAGGCCTCAAGGAGCTCGTGTCCACTTCGTGGGGATGGCGTGAAGCCTTTTATCACAAGTTTCAGATCGGTTCACCACTCAATACCATCCCCATCCGGATGTGTACAGCGATTGCCGAGGGCCGCGAAAAGGCATCAGAAACGGGACAAGCGGATGTTGAGCCCAAACGGAGCATTCATTCTTTGAGCAGAAACCAACCCCGAGTAAAGTAGTATCAGCAGTTCAGTAATATCAGATAGATCCTCTTGCACTACGGCTTGTAAGGCCATGAGCTTGCAAAAGATTATTATCCAGTCTCTACAGGACAGGTTGCACACGTGTTCTGGCTGGTTCAGTGCTGCTGCAGCCATGCATCAAATGTCGAGCCATGCTTTATACATGAACACGCATACAGCACGCAGCATCTTTTGTCCGTTGATACAGTGGGTCGTGCGATACACTGATACAACTGGGGAGTCGTTGACTCAATTAGCACCATGCAGCGGCAGCAGCTGGACAAACGTCCTGGAGTGCAAGGCTTCGATGCGCCCCCCTGTCGACAAGGCTATGACTATAACTCACTGCTGGAATGCCATGTTAACCAACCCTTCTTTGAGCAGCTGCTAAGCCTGACATTCGCAAGTGTGGCGGGCCATCGGGCTGAAGCATTGAGCCAAAGGCTTGCGAGAATCACACGGCAGTGAGGCCTTGCATATGTGTGTTTGTGTTTGTTCCTCCGTTGGTTTGTCTGTCTGTCTGTTCACCATCTCACCTCCAAGCTTGTCCGTCGCTGCGATGCATCAATGCAACCCACTCCATGTTGGACTGTTCTCCAGCTCCCTTGATCGTCAGAACCTCCCAGCTTCTCAAGTGGTCCGATGCTGTCCTGTACCACTCCAGTGGTCCCATGTTCACAGCCGGGGTCTTCACATCCCGAGAGAAGTACTCATCTGCTTTGGTCGTCCTGGGTTGTCCATGTTTTTGTTCATCGCATAACGATTGCTGCACGCGGTCAGGTAGCTCCTGGAATGTTTCAGCAACAAATATTTTGTGGCTCAGCGAAATTTTCGTTTGCGGCTGGCGCAGTGCATCGTAAGATAGGCATATACGCAATGCTCTTTAAGGAAAAGCTCATGGCGTTGTTAGCATCTTTGCTAACAGCAGTCGCCACAGCTGACGAGGCGGCTTGCAGACGCTTCGTTGCCTCTGCAGATGTGCGAGATCCAGATCAGCGCTTGACATATCTGGAATGCATACTCTCATTCGCTTCGACGCTGGGTCTTGATGAGCCCTGTCTCGAGGCACTGGCGTTGTTGGTCTCAGGGCCGCTCAGTGTCACAGCCGTGTTGATTTCTGAAAAAATTCGCGATAGCTGGGAAGAGCTGGCCGCCAACTTGGGCGAGGTTCTGAAAGGCGTGGACGTGATAGTCGTAACTGAGTTGCCCGACGACATCAAAATACAGTATATCCCGAACGTTCGTTGCAAGAAGTTGGTCGATAATTCTCCGATGGATTGGGAGCAGCTTCGCAGCATGCCGGTCATGGCGAGAGGGTCCTTCCGGCAGGCCTACAAGCTGAAGACGGCTTGGATGCTGATGGAGCATTTCGAGCACCTTCGTGGAGAGTCGTACCGATACACTGTGCGGCTACGTACAGATTGGCACCCGACGATTTCGATAGCGGATTTATTGCAATCTTCCCAGATTGTGCCAGGTAGCATTTATCAACGTTCCGATGTGTTTGCCTATGGTCTTCGGCACGATATGCAACAGTGGGTCCTGTACAGTTTCAGGCTCATGGAAAACAGCTTCTCAAATGCTCTGGTTGAAGGCGTGAAGCATTACAGGCCCTTGAATTGGAGCCTTGTCGCATTGAGTGAAGTCGGATGTGCTCCATTCTCTTGGCTTATGTTCCCACGAGAGGTCATTGGCGACATATCCCAACTTGGTCCATATTGGCCGGCAGAATATCCCACTCTGGTCCTTGACGCGGTCATATTCCACGAGAGACGCCTTCTGCAATTTGATGCGAAACTGATGGCAAAGCTATCTGACAGCGATGAGCCTCAGGCATCCATCTCTCCATATCGCAACGTCCCTGCAGTGAGCGTCAAGTGCTGCACTTCGGATGACTTTGAAATCGAGCTGGCGCTCTTACACAACTTGTATGACCAAGGGCTTCTATGCCGTGCTCCACGCATCCCTGCTGAACAATGGAGGTCTTACAAGCCCTACATGGTACCTAGCTATTGATCTAGCTATTGATTGCGGTGTGGTGCGTGGTAGCCAACAGACGCAAATCCAGAGTGGACTGCCGGTTGGAGGCTATTTTGCAATAAAAGATGTGCCTTAGTACTACTATGTACTACTACTACTACTACTGCTAATTCTTCCTCTTCGACTTCTACTACTACTACTACTACTACTACTACTACTACTACCAACACGACTACTACTGCTGCTGCTACTGACTACTACTCCTCCTGCTACTTCTCCTACCCTTCGGGTACTACTCTTACGCTAGACGTAGTAGCACTACTACTGTTTGGTAGCACTGATCAGGACTGAACTCTGAAAGACTGACAGCCTCTGCACGCTTGCAGCCGGGTAAAATGGGTAGAATCAGTATAGAATTATAATGCTTCTGTGGGTTAAGGGGAGTTTGAGCGGCTCGCAGCTTCAGGCCCAGGGGAGACCTTCTGCAGGAGCAGCACAGTCTGCTTGCTTCCTCGAGATATGTGTTGTCTTCTGACACTTTCTGGATAACTACATGCCAGCGTCTTGTCATGATCTGTTTTGTCATCCTGGCATGCAAATCTTGTGCCTCAATCTCTGCCGACTGCACACTCGCTTGTCCGAGTTGTGACAGCGTAGACAAACCCCAAACTCCTCAACCCCTACCCTGCCCAAGCCCCAAAAGCTAAAAGCCCCGCAAAACCCCGCATGCCCGCCAAAATATTCCACAATACAATCCTTCTCCGGGACATCCTATAGGATTGAGAGCGAAGCCGATAAGCAAAACAAGCTGGCAGATGAATCCAAGGCCGGCAACACGCGTCCTTTGATGTTTGCAGAAGTGTAGATTTGGCTGTGAGGCCTTGGGCTGGGCAGTAGTAGGCAGCTTCATGCTTGACATTTGGCCCAAGGGGTTCGGCTTGTTCCAGCGGATGCTGCGCAGATGCACCAAGATGCCGTGGGACGATGGTCAAGGATTTCCCCGTGCCGTCTTCATCTACCTGGCTGCAGCACTGCCTGTTGCACTTGAGGGCCGCAGCGGCTTTTCTTTGTCTGGGCTGCCCTGGGGTCACTGGGAGGGTCAATGGAGGTCCAAGCATCTCTGTTGGGGCGGCTCATCCCCACCTACTGATGAGCTTGGGAAGGTGTTCCAGTTTCCCGCTGAGGATGTCACCTGCGAGTTCCGCAACGTGTGCTACAACCCGGGAACAGAGCATTTTGTGTATTCCAAAGACTCAAACGAGCTACGTCGACCCCTTCCCCCGGTCAGCATCTGGAGTGGTCCACCTGAGCCTATCTTCGGCGGCTACGATGCGCCGCGCAAGATCCTGCCTGTGCACGTGCAGGAGCCGTTGGCCCCGCAAAGCGTGCTGAGTGTGCCGACATACGTGATCTTGCGTGGTGCCAGCTCAAATCTAGCCCATATGATCCACGATATGATGCTGCCACTGGTCATCCTCCTGTCCCAAGCTGAGGGCAGCCGCGGGGGCAGTCAGAGCGGCCGCCGCGTGATCTTCTTTTTGGATGATTGCAACCCATTGAGCATTTACAACAGCCCGCCGGCCATGCCCAAGCTGAGGAGTAACACAAAAAGACAAAGCTGTGAGCGGTTCAGCGACATGCTTGTTCCCATCATCTCCGATTGGCCATGGCTCGACGTGGAGCGCCTGCTTTCGGCAGAGGGCAAGAAGGAGATCTGTTTCTCGCGACTCATTGCAGGCTCCGGTCGCTACGGTCTCTTCTCGGGCTACAGCGAAGATAGGCTGAGTGGTCTCTACCTGAACACAATTGCCAGCGGCCTGTTGGGCACCCACATGCGGCTGCTGCGTGACTGGGCCTACGAGCGGATTCTGGAGCACCCTGGCCAATCGCCCCGTAGCACGCCTGGCACGCTAGCACTCGTACCCAAACCTGTAGGAGAGCGCCGAGATCTCGCGAACATGGAAGAGGTTGCCACGTGGTTGGCTGACTGGGCCCAGGCCCATCACCTGCAGTACGTGGAGCTGCGTCTTTGGGCCATGAGTCTTCAGCAACAGTTGACGGCACTGCACCAGGTACGCATCTTGGTCACTCATGCAGGGTCTACGCACGCAGCGAGCAGCACCTTCTTGCCTGACTGGGCCAGCGTCATTGTCATACCGCAGTGCGGTGGCTGCAAACCGACTGAGGACATCCGCGAGGATTGTAGTGGAGACAGCCTGTATATGAGGCCTTGCTCAGCCGATGAGATGACCTTTGATTTCGTTTGGCCACGCCCCTTGCTAAGGATCTTCTGGTATCCGGCCACACTGCAAGACACCGAAGAGCGAGTCGGACACCTGGACGTCAGGATCAACCAGGGCCTGTTGGTCGCAGTCTTGGAGGAGGCCTGCCAACAAAGGCTGTGTAGATTCAGGACTTAGGAAAATGGGCTTGGCATGGTCAAGTGAAAAAGCTGTCTTTCTGAGATACATAGGCCAGCCAACACATGGACTTCCAGCGCATGCCAGAGCCGCCCGAGATGTCAGAACTGCCTGAGCTGCGCATCTTTTCCTATTCGTGGCCTGAGATGCTGCATTTGCCACTGCTGCTCCGCTGCTCCGCCGAACACAGGCAGAGCATGCCGAGCCTCCGCCGGACCTGTGCAACGAAGATCAGTGAGACTTACTGCGGACTTCTTCATCGACGCCCTGCCTACACGGAGACTACGACGGAAGATCTCCTACCTTCTCTTGGCAGCTGCAGCTGCATGAATGCAGCTCTTGAGGCTGGGGCGGCTGGGAGTGGGGCGAGTGTGTCTTGGAACTGGCAGCAGCTGTCCAACGTGGCTTTCCTAAAGCTACAGCTTGCAAGGCACGAGCTCCTCTTTTGGTCAGGCCTAACCATGGATGCCATGACAAACATCCTGTTTGGCATGCCCCACTCTGTTATGGGCTTCTTCGGCCACCCTTCCTTGCTTGAGCTTCTGCGGCGACGGGCGTTTTACGAGGACAGTGAAGGTTTGGAGTGTTCTGACCGAGATGACTGCAGGGCGAAACGTGTCTTAACGCTTATTGAGTGGTTGATGGTAGCACGAAATGTGTTCTGTCAACACGGAGGCCTCTCAACTTGGGAGCTAGCGTCAAACGAGCAAAGCATCGACCTGATAGATTTCCGCCGTCACACCCTGCTTGTGGAAACCATATTTGTGGAGCTTCTTAGCGATGCACAAGACTCCACATGGGGACCAAGCGTCAAGCTGCTGCTGAAGGTTCTGCAGGAGGAGCTGGCAGTGGATTTTGGCTTGAACTTTCGGGTGACAAGCCCATGGTGCAGCACCAACATCAGCGCAGAAAGTGCCAGCGGGGAGCCGGCGAGGCTTTTCACAGACCTCGACTTCTCGTGGTTCTCCAAGCTGTGCGCCTTACCTTTGGAGCCGCAGCAAACTTCCGAAGCAACCGAAGATGTAGAAACCCTTGAGCCGCACATAGCTGAAGAGCCTTCGACCTGCCATGCCAGTGGCGTGCCACGAAAGAGGGGTGATCTTCTGTTCCATGTGTTGGGCCATGCCGTGGTGAGCCCACAGCATCGGCTCACCGACAGTGCAACGGAAGTCGAGGTACTGCTCTTTGTTTACAGTCTGGATGGCTGCATTCCAGTCGTGAGAGAGAAGGTCGGCCATGTACTCTCCCAGCCAGCGGTGCCGCTTTTCCCTTGGCGTTGCGGTTTCGAAGGCTGGAGTGGCCAGGCTGTTCCAGTCTCCATGATGGGCTTCACTCTGACGATCGTGTGCCCGGTCCCTGTGTGGCTTCGCCAGCCTTCGCTCCTGCACCTCTTTGCAGAACCTCAGGAAATTCAGCTACCAATTTCCATGTGCAAAAAGCAGAGCGAGCCAAGGGAGCGCCTCCGATTGGCAATCTGCCTGCGCATCCATTATGACATCAGCGGGCTGGTAAAGGAGTCTGGCTTAACATACCTGGTCCGAGATTGGATGAACTTTCATCTACTCTCAGGTGTGGATAAATTTGTGATCTACGATGAGGATGGATCCTTTGGTGAAGTGGAGGCTGACTTGTCCAAGCACCCTCGAGTGAGCTACTTCCCGCGTTGGCCAGAGACGTCTCTGCCACTTCTTTCAAGCCGCTTGCAGCTAGGGAAGCAAGAAGTCGGCAAAGACAGCCTGGCCGCACAGGCCAACTCCCACTGTGTTATGATGTTGAAGGGACAAGTGGACTGGATCGCTATGCTTCCCGGCTTCGACACCTTTCTCTGGACTTCGCAGAGCTCAAGGCAGACCGGTGCCTTGAAGGCGGTGCTTGCAACAGTGGAGCCTCACCGCGCAAAGCTGGCCGCCCTTCAGCTCATGGAGGTGCAGTACACTCAGGGCAACTATCCCAAGGGTTCCACACTCTTGTCTCAAAGGATGCGAGGACTCCCCATCACCAACCGATCGCACACGCTCCTGCTGAACCCAGACACGGGATCACTATTGAGTAAATTTATTCTTGTCGCTGTCAGCTGTCTTGAGTTTGTTCAAGCCCAGTCCGAATTATCACGAGCCATTTCGTTCAACAAGAGCCTGTGATCCAGGAGAATGTGCTGGAAGTTGGGATGGGCCACTTCGCTCTGCCACGCCAGGATGCACACCTTGTTGCAGTCGAAGCGAGTCGGCTGCGAGTGAACCATTACATTGCTCCTGGGATCCGTAGGTGCAATTTTGGTTTTCATGTTAGACTTCTGTGGGGCCTCTGCTCCTCCATATACATGTATACCCTGAAAGAATCGATGCATGATGTTCTTTCCCTGGCCAGTTCGGCTCCTAGGACTTTGTCGAGTCCAGTGGCTCCCGCTGTGTGAACTGCACCATTCTGGACGACGTGCTTAGCCCGGAATTGGAGTCAGAGGTGGAGATGATGCGGCGGACGACCTGACATGAAAATCGAAAGTCTGCATCGTGTATGCACCCTCTCATCCCGCGACATTACCGTTTTCACCGACATAGCATAGCAATCGTACTGTACATAGTCCCTGTATTTGTAGACTTGTCTGCGAAGGGTTGATCCTGCCTTTGGGCAGCTGAGATGCATCCACTTCTCGGTTCCGACGCACACCTACTTGCCGTTCTGATTCTCCCTTGCTTGGCCATCATGTTGTACGGAGGGGTTGTGGCCGGGGATGAGAAGCAAGGGGTTGGTGGTCCAATGCCCATTAGCCCACTGCAGTCGAATTCAGTGTGGTTAACGCGAGCCTGTTTGGGATTTGCATAGCCTTCCACAGATGAAGAATCTGGCACATGTTGGACCGTCCCAAAACTCTTTTTGTGAATTCAGCCTCAGCGTCAGTCAAACCCGAGCAATCTGCGACATCTATTTCAACGACTTCCAACGGTAGTGCTTATTATATAGTAATATAGTCCTCACCGAACTCCTCACGATACTCTCTATCATCCCATATCTCTATGATCCCCGTATCTGCCCCTAAGCTATCCCTATAATCCCATCATATTTTCCCACTACCAGTAGCGCAGACAACACTCCATGTAATCACCCCCGCGCAATCCTTTCCGCGGCTCCAGGACAAGTGGCAGCCATGCCATGCAGCAGTCTTAGACTTCCGGGCAGCAGCAGCAGCGAGAAAACAGGTCCGGAACACAGCAGAAGAGGGTCGTTGGGAAGTGCTGGAGCTCACAAGATGTTGAGTGGTTCGATTTCAGATATTCGACTCAGCCTAAGGTACAGACCCACAAGATTGGACAGGATTTCTGCTTTTGGACTGCATGCATGGAAGAAGCCAGTAGTATCAGTGAGGTCCCCTTGCATCATGAAAGCCCATGCATTTTATCCTACCTTCGCCACGTATACCGTAAACAGCACAGTTTTCACAAGTGCAGCTTCACAGCGGCAGTGTTCTTGCTGGCTCATGACAAGCATTCAACGGTGCCACTGCGGCAGCCGTCAATTGTCGACTCACGCTGTAAGCATACCTGCATGTTCGATGAGGAAGCATCTACCGTCCGTTGACACAGTGGGTCGTTTGATACACTGGTACAACTTGGACTTTGTTAGCTCCTTCAGCACCATGCAGCGGCTTCAGCTGGACGAACTTCCTGGAATGGAAGGCTTCGATACGCCCCTTGCTCGACCATGCCCTAACTATAACACTGCTGGATGCCATGTTAACCAACCCTTCTTTGAGCAGCTGCTAAGCCTGACATTCGTATGTGTAACGGGCCATAGGGATGAAGCATTGAGCCAAAGATCTGCGAGAACCACACGGCGGTCAGGCTTTGCGCGCGTGCTTGCGGCTGCAGTGCAGATGACACATCAATGCATCTGAAACGGTCGAACATTTGGATGACTGTAGCAAAGCCTCCCGCCCTGCCACTTTGAAGGCAGTCGAAGCTTCAGACCGAGGTACAAAAACTACCCGGCCTTCCTTCTTGACATGCAGGCATTCAGTCTACAGACTGGAAATGATGCCAAGGACAAGCTATGAAGGGCGTTTCGCCACGGCATTTCGTAACCCTCGAGCTTGGGTCCAGACCTCGTATTCCCACAGCAGATCTCGCGCAGTGTTGCACTCGGCTAGATCACGATCCTTGAATGACAGCACAGTTTTCGAAGTATCAAAGTACTAACGGTGAGAATACTGCAATCGTCTGAATCACCTTTGGCCAACTCGAAGAAGGACGAGGCCCTCGATTTCCAAGATGAAGCTGTCCTGAGCGCAGCAGCGGCTGAGTCCGAGGCCAAAGCGGCTTCGAACCTGGCAACCCGGCAGTGTCCAGAATCCATATCGAAGGGCAGCCGCCCCACGGCACCGTAGTGCATGACACATAGCGGGTGAAGATATTGTGTAATGCCATCCCTTTCGTCGTGGCAGTTGGAGCCTAAACTGCTGATAGAAACGACAGGCGGTAGGTTGTTTTGAACGTTCGTCACCGCGTGTTTCGACCAGCGACTGTGGTAAGGTGACTCTTCATGCAGACAGCTTGGCCGTGACCTTCGAAGGCTGCATGCTGCTGCTGCTGCCACTGTGTGGGGATGGCAAAGGGGTCCAGACCTTCTTGTTGCCGGCTCGCATCGTATCAATGGGGCATGCACGAAGCTCCAACACAAGTCTCTTGCTGGCCTTTGATCGCATGTTTTGTCGCCCTGATTCTCCCATTGCAAAATGTCGCAGCCGTAACAAAGACCAGCCGAGGCATCTTCCAAGAGGACGAAGTGATCTTGGTCAGTTTGATCGGTGGGTCGCTCCATGCGATCCAGGTAGGCCTTCCCGACGAAGTCTACTGAGGCAGTCACAAGAACAGTTCTGACCAAGTGAGCGCAAGGTGTCCCGGGATGGGCACTGCCGGACTTGGTGCCGGACGCAGCTCGGTGACACGAAGCGGCCCTTCCTGAGCGCTGCGTTCATGGAGGAGTCCACTGCAAAGAAACAACGACACATCCCGCCTGCTGCGCAGGCTTTACAGTGTCTGCTTTCGTTGCCTTGCCCGAAAGGACTCGTCCATCATGGCTCTGGTGTACCGAACTGCCCGCGGTGAAGCAACGAACACGCTGGGTTATATAGAGCTTCTGGCGCTGCAGCTCAACGAGCATGCGCCGGAGGACACCGCACGCTCCATGCAAGGGTGGGTTTGGGAATTCGAGTTGCGGGTGATGCGAGCGGATGCGGGTGTGACCTTGAGTGTCCACGGCGTAAGCCAGGCACACTGCTTCTTGTCGATTGGACCGGTAGTTGAATTGTGATATTGCGTCCGCAGCTGTAAACCTGCGGAGATTGTCGTGCTACCTACATGTCGGCAGCGCATGGAACTGAAATCTTGACATTGCTTTCTGTACTTGAAGCATTCATGTGATAGTGATTTTCAGCGGTGGAACCATCAATGAGAAGGAACTTTGGCACGAGAGACACGTGGCAGCGTTTCAACCAAGCGTTGCACGAGCTTGTGCTGCTTCGTTCGATCAAGTACGCAGTTGGAAGTCTAGTTTAACAAGTTAGCCTAGGGCCTAGGGGCCAGGAAGCTAAGCCACTGTGGGTGGCTCATGGTCCTCATCCTCCACATGCCGCACACTGGGAGTCGCCGTACACGGGGTTTCTGGTCGCCTCCGGAGGCTTTGCATTGGTGCAGGGAGCCGGGGTGCAAGACTCCAAGACTATCTGGTGTCATTCTGCTATCAAGCTTCTTTTCCGTCACACCGACATGTCAAGCAGTTGGAATAATTGTGGAGCTTGTGATGATGGCTTGCAAGAGGTATGCTTGAGATGCCGATCCAAGCATTCCCTTCAATCCTCATTGCTCTCAGTACCTGGAGTGCTGAGCACATCCTACAGTTCTACAGATGCAGCTGAAACCTGCTCAAGGCTGGCCACCACACCCTAGACAAATGAACCTGCAATGCGGGGGGCTCGTGCTTTCGAAGTCACCCCCAAAGAGAGCAGATTCAACAAATCCTGAAGCCCATACACGGTAAATCTTAGACACAGTCTTAGACCCTATACGCGCTCAGCCTGCACTGCCGAAGTCCCAGACTTAAACGGGATCCCTTTCGTGTGGAGGCTTCGAGCTGAGTGCCGGTGACGGGCCCACCTTGCAAACCGAAGATGCCGTGTGCACTGTGCTTCCGGGTTGCAACTGTGCATCTCAATGAAGCAGCCTTTGGCGTGGGGAGGCTGTCTCGAAGTAACGCATGCCTCCGCTATTCAGTTCTTTATTCTGTAGGTGCAGGCCGCGCACGCCTCTAGACTCGATTTGCATGTTGGCATATTGCATGCAGGCAGCGGCGCCGAACAGGAATTGCAACAGGTTCCAATCGAACAGCGCAAAACACGATGACTCAGGAACATGCATTGAACTAAGAATACGACTTTAATTTTCGGGGAGCCAGTGCCGTGCAACAGGCATCAGAAAACAACGTGCACAAGCCAAAGCTGCAGCTGCTGCTGCTGCTGCTGCTGCTGCTGCTGCTGCTGCTGCTGCTGCTGCTGCTGCTGCTGCTGCTGCTGGTGCTGGTGGTGGTGGTGGTGGTGGTGGTGGTGGTGGTGGTGGGGGTGGGGGTGGGGGTGGGGGTGGGGGTGCCAGCTGAGCGAGCGACATGTATGGTCGTCCTGCCGATGCTTCCGTGTTTTCTTCTGCTGCTTGTGCTGCAAAACCGCACGGGCTTTTCGGATAGACAGAGCCCCTTCCCCTATGCATTGGTTGTAGTATCAACTGAGCTCCCATATCATTAAGCTGCTGGTGTCTGCAACTGGCCTCTCACACTTTGAAGTGTTCAGGGATTTCCGTTGCCCCACTCCGTCTGGTATTCAGAATTTATGGTCCCGACATTGTAGCTCACGGTATGTGGTGCACAAGTTGGCACTGTCTGGAGCTATGTGCGCGGCTTCTGCTCGCTTGGGGTGGTGCTGCCAGCATTGGTTGCACTACAGCTATGTGCGCGGCTTCCGCTTGCTTGGGGTGGTGCTGCCAGCATTGGTTGTACTATCAACTGAGCTCCCGCATCATTAAGCTGTTGGTGTTTGCAACTGGCCGCCCACACTTTGAAGTGTTCAGGGATTGCCGTTGCCCCACTCCTTCTGGGGTTCAGAATTTATGGTCCCGACATTGTATCTCACAGTATGGTGCAAGAGTTGGCAAGGTCTGGAGCTATTTGCACAGCTTCCGCTCCCTTAGGGCTGTCATAGTTTAGGAGCCTCTGCATAGGACTGCGCTGTTTTGGCGTTTCATCTGGCAAGGTGAAGAAGCATGTCAATCGTTTTGGCCGGGTATCCGCAGGATCACTCAAGCATGCATCCAAGATTCTGCTGTGCTCCTTAGAACTAACATGTCAAGCGGTTTCCCGCCCGATCTTGATAGCAATGTTAACCAAGATCTTGTCACGTTGCAGCTTGGCGCATATAGCAAGAAGGGAGCAGGGCAGTGCCTTACAAGCAAACCCACCACACTGCAAGAGCCTCGGAGTTTCGGTGGTTTCTCTCACACATTTCTGCCGTCCAGATTCTCAAGCCGAGGTTTCGAATGGAGCCTGCGGCACAGGCAGAAATGAGGAGTTGGCTTCTTCCCAGAGGCCAGAGGGCAGGGCGAGACCAAGAATGCAAAAGATTTCTGTCTGCTGTGATCCTGGACCTGTCTGCCCGGGGCCAGAACTTGTAACTACATACAGTAACAACATCATCAACGCTTTCGACAGAATTCACATGGACGCTTTGGTAAGACCGCTCAGGCGATGTTTTGAGCTGCGCAGAGCATGTGGGTGGCCTGGAAGTCGCTTTGGCACACAACTCCCAGGGCGCACTACTCTTCCGCATGGCGGCTTGGTCATGGCTTGCTGCCTTCCCCGAATTTTTCCTGAATGCATTACGATGCAGGACATTAGTTCCAGTATACTATATTATATTGTAACCACACACATTACGCACTTGTAATGTATGTTAGTTTGTTGGAAGTGGCGGCCCTCCTTCCTTGCGCACTTGCCTCTCACAACCTTATGTTTCTCAGTTTCTTCTGGAAACACGCACGTTCAACAGGTTTTAGATCTTGCATGTGCTGCAGGAGATGTGTTCTTCGACCGTGTCCCACGCCGGTGTTTAAGACTTGTCTCCCATATGCCCACCTGTCCAACCTGACATGCACCAAAGCCGTGCAAAACCACAGGGCGTTCTTTGTGAACTGTGTGAGCAGCATGGTAGCAGCCTAGGTAAAAGTGTTTTGTTCATTATTGTGCATGCCTCGCCATGCCCTGGCTCCGGAAGTGGTCGGGCAGCGCGATTCCCGCACACCCTGAGCCCCTGTCCCGCTTGACCCGTCAACCGACACGAACACGAAGTTAACAAGTTGGCAGTGGCTAGACGACTGTATCCAGACGAGGTGGTCAACCGGTTCGCTGCAAAACATCACAAGCAGCCGAGAAAACAACAAATGGAAACTCTAAGCTAGTCCTGTTTGCCTGCGTCTTGTGAAGACATCCCGACGGCCTTGTCTCGGCGAAGAATACCTCGGAGTAGGGGTTGATGTGCAGGGTCGAAGAAGGCTTCATCACGGCCTTTTCATCTTTTGATGTAGCATTGCTGCTCTAGTGGCTGCAAACCTGAGGTGTTGGAATCTGAAGGTCCCGCGATTCTCGATGCCGTCGTGATTCCAGGAGCAGCTGCTTGCGCAGCTGCGCGGGAGCAGCTCCAGATATTTGCAGTGTCGCCTGATCGAGGCTTCTTTGTGTTGGTGGATGGAAGTGGCCTGGCCGCACGGGCTGGACCGCACACCTGCACTTTTTGGTAAGGTTCCAGCTGCACGGGTGCAAGAATGCAGGTGGTGGGGCAGCTGTATTCCGCTGTCCGGATCCGTGGACTTCAAGCTCGCGCTCACCCACAGTCACGGTTTGCTCGGAGAGCACGAGCGCGGTGAAGCTGCTAGAGTCGTCTCTGTTGATGCGTACAAAACAGGCAATTGTCCGGTGCAAGCTGAACATGTCTGCAAAAGTGGAAGGGGTAAAGCGCGAGCTGATCTCCCGGGAATTGATGCCTCTCGGGATGGATCCCACGGCTTTGCTGAGGATGCTCGACATGCAAGGGGAGGACTAAAACAACCGAGCGAGCGCCAAAGCTACACAGCTCACAGAGTGTCACATTATGTTCACCGTTAGCTCAAGCCAACCCTTACCTGCCGCAGGCTTTGTCAGCTCCTTGTCGTCCGCATCTCCCCAACCTCCCCAGCCGCCCCAAGCATTGTTTCTTAAATGTTCTCGGGGTCCTCTTCCCAGCTGGCGAAGAGCTCCTGCGGAGGGCTGCACGGCCGTCCCATGAGCCATAATTTGCTTCCTTCACGTTGCCATGGGGCTGCTGACCATCCCAGTGAACCACGACTCGGCGCTACTGTACCAGTCACTGCTTATAGCCAAAAAAACAGCCAGTTGACATATCTCCTCGTCGGCATCGTCGTCGCTAGAGATCACGGGCCAAGCAACCTTGCAGGCTGTGCTGCAGCGCGCACTCAAGCGCCACGAGGCTGGGGCGAAGAAGACTTTATGCTATAGCACTGCGGCACTGCGGATTTCCAGCTTAAGTCTTAGTGCCGAGGTAGGAATTTTTGTGATTTACCAATCAACTGCGGTGAATGTCCCGATGGTCATCAAACTTTGTTGATCTTGCCTGTAGGTCTTTTGGAGGACGTGGATCCACAGGTCGTCAGCACACTCAGCCACTGCCCAGCAGACCATGAACGAAATCAAAAATAGATCACCTGTCCGCATTGCGCTGCAGAGCACTAATGTTTTTAGGAGCCTTCGGAACAACCCTCTTTAATTTAGGCTACTTGCAGCAGGATCGCTGATGATGGTTGTGCTGTTGTGCCAAGAAGCTTGGCAGCCATAGGTTGGGAGCTACCGGCAAGCTCCTACTGTAGTCGTGGAGTACAACTGAGCCCCCGTTTCTCTCTCTCTCTCTCTCGCTCTCTCTCTCTCTCTCTCTCTCTGTAAGCAACTTGCTAAACCCAGCCAGCATCCGCCTGATACCGTAAATCATAGGCAGACTCTGGCAACAACACCGGAACTTCCAAACTAAAGCACGCCCTATTGACGGCAGGTGGATGTCGGCTGTATGCGGTTGGACATGTCACGGGAGCAAACCGCTCGAGACAGAGTACAGAATTCAAGACAGAGGCTACAGAATTTAAGAACCAGGAGCAAACCACTCGAAAAAAGAATGGAGAATTTGAGAACACTGGAGCGAGCCGCTCGAAGGATAATAAAGAATTTCAGAACAAGGAGCAAGCCGCTCGAAAGGAACTAGAGAATTTCGAACGAGACTGGATAATTTGAAAGCAAGGAGCAAACCGCTCCACAGGAGCTAGAGAATTGCTCGAAGGAAACTAAGGAATTTCCAGAGAGACTAGAGAGTTTGAAAACAATGAGCAAACCGCTCGAAAAGAACTAGGGAACTTCTGAATAAGGAGCGAACCGATCGAAAGAGACTGGAGAATTTCGAAGGAGACTGAGAATTTTAAAACAAGCAGCAAACCGCCCAATACATCTAGATAATGTCAGAAGAAGGAGCACACAGCTCCAAAGAAATTGAAAACAAGGAGAGAAGTAATTAGAATTCCGAAAGCATAAACACACACGCCCGAAAGAGACTAAGGGATTTCGAAAAAGACTAGAGGGTTTGAAAAAGGGAGCAAACCGCTCCAAAGAAACTAGAGAATTTCAGAAGAAGGAGCGAGCTGCTCGAAAGAGACGAGAGAATTTGAAAACAAGGAGCACGACGTTCGAAAGGAACTAGAGAATTTCAGATCAAGGACTAGGGAACTTGAAAAGAGACTAGAGAGTTTGACGACAAGGAGCACACAGCTCGAAAGGAATTAGAGAATTTCAGAACAAGGAGCAAACCGCTCGAAAGGAACTAGAGACTTTCAGAAGCAGGAGCAAAAAACCCGAAAGAGGATAAGGAATTTCGAAATAGACTAGAGAATTTGACAACAACGAGCCAACCGCCCCAGAGAGACGGGAGTTTCGAAAGAGACTAGAGAATTTGAAGACGAACAAACCGCTGGAAAAGAGCTAGAATTTCAGGACAAGGAGCAAATGGTAGTGGTATGGTGGTGAATCCCCCCAAACAATGTCAGGCTACCGTGCCCATGCCTCAACCAATATGGTATTCCAGACTCCTCTTCAGGCTGACGGAAAAGGGGCGATCAAAAAAAACAAGGAGCAAGCCGTTCGAAAGAGAAAGGGCCAGATAATTGCGAAGGAGACCAGAGAGACTTGGACAACCAAGCGCAAACTGCTCGAAAGGAACCAGAGAATTTCAGACGAAGGAGCAAACCGCTCGACAGAGACCACGGTATTTCGAAAGAGACTAGAGAATTTGAAAACAAGGAGCAAACCGCTCGAAAGGAACCCGGGAATATCAGAATATGGAGCAAATCGATCGAAAGAGATTGGAAAACTCTGAAACAGACTAGAGAATCTGAAATCAAGGAGCAAGCCGCTGGAAAGGAATTAGAGGATTTCAGAACAAGGAGCAAACCGCTGAAAGAGACGGAAGAATATCGAAAGACATTAGAGACTTCGAAAACAGGGAGCAAACCGCTCCATAGAGCCTAGAGAACTTCAGAAGAAGGAACAAGCTGCTCGGAAGAAACTAGAGACTACATATTGAAAGAAACTAGAGAAATTGAAAACAAGGAGCAAAGATCTCAAAGGAACTCGAGAATTTCAGAACAAGGAGCAAACCGTTCCAAAGCGAAACGGACTAGAGATTCGAAAGAGACTAGGAAAACAGTCAGCAATCCGCTCGACAGGTACTAGAGAATTTCAAAAGAAGCAGCACACCGCTCAAATGAGACTAGAGATAGAGACTTTCGAACAGCACCGGAGAGATTGAAAACAATGAATAAACCTTTCGAAAGAACTAGAGAATTCCAGAAGTTAGAGAATTTCGAAAGAGACCAGAGAATTTGCAAACAAGGAGCAAACCGCTCGAAAGGAACTAGAGAGTTTCAGAACAAGGAGCAAACCGCTCGAAAAAGACGCAAACGACGCGAAAGGAACTAGAGGGTTTCAGAAGAAGGAGCAGACCGCTCGAAAGCGACTAGAGTCTAGATATTCTTCGATGCGGAGAAGATATTGAAAGCAAGGAGCAAATTGCCGCTCGAAAAGAACTAAGGAATTTCAGAAGCAGGAGCAAACCGCTCGAAACAGACTAGGGAACACGGGGCAAACCGCTCGACAGAGAATTAAAAAGTTCGAAAGAGATTGGGGAATTTGAAAACAAACAGCAAGCCGTTCGAACGGAACTCCAGAAATTTCAGAGGAAGGAACTAACCGTTCGAAACAGACTTGATAATTTTAACGCTACGCCGCCCGCC